ATTGTCCATTCAGTCCTTTTCATCACATTGCAGTTCCTCGGTTATTACGTACATTGCATATCTGTGCATGTAACACAGAGACAGTGGCGCTGCAGCCATAGCTGCAGCTTTCATCGTCAGAGTTCCTATATCGGCACTCAGAACCTCATTGCTGGTCTTCTTCTGCATCTCAGCAGTTGGCGCTGGCCTCAGAGAGGCAGATTTAGTGTAGCGCAATTAACTGGATGTCAGTGTGAGAGTGGAGGGTGGAGTTCAGTGGTGGCGAGGTATTGGGACAAACTCTGTAATGATTATTGGTTCAGATTGGCTCAAACTTGGTTGTGTTCTGTTGTTATCCTCGCCAGTGTCTTCTTATGATTGGTTGTTGAGAGTATCGTCAGAGAGTGAGGAACACTCTGTGTTGTCTCCACACCTGTGCATAACTATTTTCCGCTGCCTACTCTGTCTGTGTGCAGTGTGTATTCTGTCTCCTCTCCCCTTTCTTCTTATGCATGTATGGGCATGTTTGAGATCGTCTGCGTGTGAGTGTTGATTGAAATCGACAGACAACCAAATTCATAACAACCTTATTCCTCCGAAAGGACCGAAACATAAACACCCGTCATTATAGCTGCATCTAGTGCAACTTCCAGGCCCGATGCATATATATTATATATTATGTAATGATCAGGACAATGTCTTCAGGGTAGTAAGATGGAACTGGATTCTTTTGTCATTGTTGAAACCCTCTTCTATTTTTTAATTTTTTTTTTTTTTTTTGGTGGTGGTCTTGTGTGTATTTTTCGATGTCTTTCAGCGTGATGGCAACGAACTATCTTGGCTCATTCCTTCTCTCCAGAGAGCTCCTGCCGCTATTGGAAAAAGCTCCCCGCGCAAGAATTGTGAATGTGTGCTCATTCACCCATCGAGCAGGTACAGATTGAAATAAGTCCACCCACCCCTTCAGCCACTGCCCACCGACCAACTGAGCAACCCACACATTGATCAGCTGACTGATCAGCAAGAGAGTAGAAGGACCAACCAAACACATCAACCAATCAAAGTGACTGTAAAGCTTGAGTTGGCTGGCTGGGTGGTGGGCGGACTGGATGGAGGGCTGCGTGGATGGGTGGGTGGGTGGGTGGGTGGGTGGGTGGAGGTGGATCAGGCAGGCAAGGTGGCGGGCGTGTGGATGGGCAGAAACGGATAATCTATGGATGGAGGGCTGGGTGGTGGGTGTGTGGATATTCACATTATTCTGAAATGGATAATCTATGGATGGTGCATCCCCTTCACCCCCCCCCAACCCCCCCTCCTGCCCCCCTTCCCCCTTTCCCCCCTTCCCCTCTCTGCATTGATCTCCTGCAGGTTCCACCTCCCCTTGACTATTATTTGCTGAAAATTTGAAAAACTGTCAGTTTCTAATTTTAGCCTCCTCACTGACTCGTGGGAAATCAAACCCACGACCTCTAATTTTAACCTCGTCACGATCGAATGGATGCCGTGGGGAATCGAACCCACGACCTCCTGTGTACTACCACTTACGTGCTCAACCAACTGAGCTAGGCCCCTCGGCCTAAAACTCTCAGTTTCAAATTTTTTAAAGCCTCCTCAGTGACTTCCGTGAGTGCTTCACTGATATACCACGATGGTACTTGGCAAACTTTTTTTTTTTTCTCAAAAAAAGGAAAAAGGGCGACAGCCTTGAGATGTCATCATGAAACTGACTGGTCCCAGGTAACTCAGGAATTCCGTTCACCTCGTTCCCTCCGGATTCAAACTCAGGTCTGTATCTTGACAGTTTGTGGGTGTACCAACTGAGCTATCCCCCATTGATAGGTCCTTGCAAACTTTGCACTGATGGTACTTCGACAGTATGTGCAAGCTTTGTCTTGCTGCCATCTATTTTAGGAAAGGAACCAGGGTTGCACATGCCGACCATCGGCGGCCCTGACAGGGTGGKGGTTGTCGGCACCCCGCAAAAAAAAAAAAAAAGGGAGGGGGTCCGGAACCCCCAATAACCCCACCAACACCCCC